TCAAGGCAAAATAAGCATTCCTTTCAGATCTGCATGTAAGTACCTCCACAGAAGATGGGAAAGACATATTTGGGGCACCAGGCTGAATAAATACTTGGCTCCTGTTTCCACATTTAGCTCTCCATGGAGCTGGCTGCGTGCAGGGAAGGCAGAGCTGTGCATCACCCTCAGTGTGGTCACAAATCACTGAGAGAAGATGAGGAAGGTACTCTCAAATACAAAACCTGAGTCCTATCCCAAAGTTATTAAGGGATGGAGAAGGATAATATATTTTCAGTGTCCTGAAAACACCTTGATAATCCTATTTTAACACTTGAGAGTCCCTATAAATCCATAATTTGATTGCATTTTATCCTTGCTGTTTGCTTGGTTAATCTCCAGTAAAAAACTAGAAGCCTTTTGTTTCAGTAATTTATGAAGTGCCCTAGTAAAACCAACGCCAAAATAAAAGCCTAAATAGTCATCTTGATCCAGCAAATGGTTCATGTTAAATCAGCTACGACAAGAAATAACATTGGTGAGATTACTGGAAAAAGCCTCTTAAAAGATGGATGAACCAAGAGTAGAGTGTTTAGCACACAAGCACCTGTAAATCACTGAAAATAAACACTGAAATGACAGTGGTGGTGGCATAAGATGGGTCAGGCACAATGCTGAGTGGAGCAGAGCCTGGAATGTCCGAGCCGTGGGGTCTTGCAGGTGATGTGGGTGTGAGTGCTCCAGGAATTGTGTTCTGAAGGGCCCTTGCCTGGGCCCTCACAGGGTGTGCAGCCCATGCTGAGCTCGTGCTGCTGGGGTCAGCCCTGCAGCCATGGTGAGGTGGTGGCAGTGACCATGGATATGGGAAGGGAGCAAGGAAACGGAGTCACTCAGCCATTTAACAGGGGGAAATCCTGCCCTAGGCCACGTTTCCCTGCTCCTGCCTGCTTGTGAGATCTGGTTTTGACCTGTGTGCAGCCAAGCTCTGAACCTGCTCTGCAAGTCCCATGTGCTCAGCACCGTGCAGGGACTGCCAGCTCTGCCCTCCCCAGCCACAGCCTGTCTGACCAGCACTTCCCAAGCCAGGCTTTGGGTGTCCTTTATCAGGAGTGGAAGGCAGCCTGAGTTCACCCTGGAGTGCTTTGGCAGGGCTGTGATAGTAAGCTCAGGATCCCAGCCAGTTTTCAACTTGAGTTTACATTTTGCCTTCCTAAATTGCCTCTCACTCCCACTACCTGTTGCTGCCATTCACTAAACAAAAACAAACGTAGAAGCTGGAGAACAGCTGCTGGGTTCTTGCTGAGAAGTGGCTGCACTGCAGTGTTAAAAAGCCATTTGGGCAGTGAATATTCCTTCACCCCTGCTCCTTCTCCTCGGTGCGCAGCCCTTTCCCTGTTTTTCAGATGCTGCCTCTAAGCACGCTACCCAGGCCTTCTTTGACTGCCTGCGAGCAGAGGTGGAGCAGTATGACATTGATGTGACAGTTGTGAGCCCCGGATACATCCAGACAAACCTCTCTCTCAACGCTATCACAGCAGATGGATCTCGCTATGGAGGTGAGATACAATTTGGTGCCCTATTTGTAAAGCATCTCCACCTCACCGGGTTGCTACAAGGTGTGCTTGCAACACATGGCCTCTAATGGGGACACAGGTTAGTTCTGAAGGATCAAAAAACAACTTGGGATGCAGGGTAGGAACAGTAACCTCCAAAATTGAACCTTCCTAGACAGCAACTACTGGCCCAACCATGAGTTATGCCTGCCTGTGCTCCCCTACACAACTGGAGTAAAAGCCAGTACAAGCAGCCATGTACAGTTAAAGCATTTCTAGGAGAGGTACCTAAGTGTGGGTTTACCTGCTGATACTGGTGCTCACTGGGCTTTCCCTTGGCAGTTATGGACAAGACCACGGCCCAGGGACAGACGGCGGCCGAGGTGGCTCAGGTGGTTCTCAATGCAGTGGGACAGAGGAAGAAGGAAGTGCTCGTGGCTGGCCTGACCCCCTTCCTGGCTGTCTACCTGAGGAACCTCTGCCCCAGGGTCTTCTTCACCTTAATGGCATCTAGAGCAAAAAAGGAGAGAAAAGCAAAGGACTCTTAGAGCTCAGATGGCCTGAGCAGTACCTGCAGGGACAGGCTGAGCCCCTGCAGTCGGCTGGGACATCACTGGAGGTGCTCCTGCAGGAAAAACCTTTCTCAAAAGACTGAAGTTTACTATTGCATGGAGAGTGGGAAGTGGTTTCCCCCACACTGGTGGAAGAAAGCACCTAAACCTCACCTGGAGAAGGAAGGGTGCTCGGACAACAGGGGAGAGCTGAGGCTGCAGGGGAGGGTGACTCAAGGGAACACTCTGCAGCCGGGGAGGCCCCTGTGCTGGAACACAGCACCTCACCTCACTCCAGGCATGCTCAGATCTACTGGGCTGCTACAAATAAAACCCACCTGTTTTGCCTTCACACAAGCAGATCTTGGCTTTCCCCATGCCATGGCCCCTGTGAAATACAGTCCTCAGCTCTCGTGATCAGTGTCTCCTTCCCACTCCTTCCAATCCGATCCAGAACATGCTGCTTGAAGTGGGAAACTGCACAGAGCTTCTGCTTGTTAACATGCCAGGTCATCTGATATGTTAAGTTCAAGTCCAGTGCCACTTTTAAAGAAGTAACTGATGTACAATTGAAGTATATTTGGCCATCATTTTACCTGTCTGAACCGTGTCTTACTGATGTACAGGGACATTTAACTCTGCACTGGCAGCACAGTATGAACCCCAAGCACCAGAGAATGCTGGAAAGCACTGAACAGATAGAACAGCACAGCAAGTCACAGCAAGGTGACAGCAGCACACCTGGCCCACCTGCAGGCCTGGAGCACAGAGCAGGTGTGATCCCGTGGATGCCAGGCCCTGTCTCCTGGATGCAGAGGAGAACCTGTGTGTGTAGGATGCACAGTCTGGCAGACAGACCCTTAGTTCTCATTGCTTCAAAGCAATCACAGATGCTAATTAGGATGACATCCAGTGGGGAATGATACCTGCCTGTTCACTCATCACAGGCTTCAGGGAGTGCCATATTCCATTCTTCACCTGTTCTCATGTGAGAGATACCAGCACTAGGAAAAAGGAATTGCTGCACAGAGAATTCAGTAAGGACAGAAATAATCTTTTTAAACTTGTAATTAAAATAAAACCAACTAGTAGGAAAACCAAGGTCCAGACCCCTGTTGCCACCTCCATGCACTTGCCAGCATTTTCCATGTCCTGCCTCATAAGTCCCGACTGTGAGTGCTCATCTGATGACAAATAAATTACATTGCTATGAAATGAATCCTTTGGTCTACTCCAGCTCCTCACAGGAGGTAACGTTAGAGGAAGGGAAAGCAGGAGGGTTTTGTTTTTCTTTTTTATATCCCTCACAAAAAAAAAACAGGATCACAGAGGTTCGGTGAAGAAAAGGAACTAAAGGCCCTGAGAATTATTCTGCATTGAGTAAAAAAGAGCAGGAATGCAGTTGGTGTGGCCAGCACAGGGTATTTCAGGGCCCTCTGCAGCAATAAGTAATAGTAGCTATGGCAGATGTGCCACCAGCTTCAAATCCATCCAGTAGACAGGACTTTGGAAACCCGTCAAGATGGAAGGGCAGCCTGCCCAGCCTGGCCTAACCACAGAAAGACAAAGTAGTTGCATTTCTTTCCCTCCTCTCTGCCAAGGCAACTGTACATTGTTGCTATAAATAGACACTCTGGATCCCAGCTTCTTTTAACCTTGGAGGGAGAGAGCTCAGCCACTGTACAAAGGGCTGTTGCCTCCCAGAAACGTCTCCCTGCCACTGGATTTTCCTCCAGCCCCCAGGCCTGCTCAGGTACAGCTGCCTGTGCAGGTGCTAAAGGCTGAGAACTCCCAGCAGCCCCAGTCTGCCCAGCACACACAGATGGGCTACGTGTCCTAGGGCTCACACAAAAGCTGCCTCAGCAGAAAAGCACCAGTCACAACTGCAGACACTGGAGGCAAGGACAGGGGGAGTTCTTGGTGCCTGCTGTGGAAATTTGGAGAGATACAGACAGAACAACTCCGTTTGGTGTCTGACCTTGTGAGAGGCCCTGCCAAGGTCAGTGTTTCAGCCGTGGAGGTCAGGCTGCAGCTGCCACTGGAGCAGGGAGCACACCTGTGCACAGGCAGCTTTTACTGCAGCCTTTGCTCTTGTATCCCGATCCAAACACCTGAAGCTGTGCCAAGCTGGCCCTGCAAACGCCAGCCACGCCTATTTTCCATCTGGTAGGAAGAGATTATAGGCAGCCAGTCCCTATCTTTTAGATGTAACGGGCAGACCTCGCAAAACAGTAAATACTTCCCAAGCTAAGAACAAGATTTTGAGTTTAGAGCTAAAAGATGCATTAATGCACACGACTGAATTTTACAGTTTCATGTAATGCAGTTACAAGATGCAGTCACCCAGATGCCTTGCAGCAGGAGGAGGCAGCTCCAGAAGCACGTGTTCCAGGCAAGAGCAGTGGAATTGCACAGTCAGCACACACTACAAAGGTAGGACAGGTGGACTCCCACCTCGGCAGCCCTCAGCTGCACGTGGGACAAGGCAATTCAGTGGAGATGTATCCACGTTAACAGGAACGGAGCAGAACGTGTCTGTAGCTGGAAACTTACTGTGTGCAGAGGAGTCATGGTTGGAGGTGGCAGGGCAGCAGAGAACTGGGGCACCTTTACCCCCAGCCATCAATGTTTAAGCAATTACCAAAAAGGTGTCAACCTGAGGTAACAAATAAGGCTCCTCCAGGAAACACAAGCAAGAGGGAAAGCAACACCCTACAGTTGTTCCTTCAGCAGATGGCTGCTGTGAGGTAACATGGACACTGCTGCCATGTGCAATGGACAAGAGGAGTATCAGGTCTGTGTGTGACCAGACATTAATAATTATCACTACTGCAACTCTCAGAGCAAAGCCTCCACCCCCAGGAAGCACAAGAGCAAAGGGAACTGTGATAACAGTGACAAGAGAGCAAAAGCATTTGAAATTCTCATCCTTTAATGGTCAATGATAACTTCTGGCTGGTTCTGTGTAATACAATTAAACAATATACTTAATTGTTTCCAAAAAAAAAAAAAAAAAAGCAGCTCTCACACCCCCTCTTTCTATTGCTTTATTTCATCCACATTCCGCTGCTGGATTGGACTCCCCTGGCCTAACATACGGATCTCAAGTCACCACACATCCACATCTCAAGTGTAACGAAGAACTGAAAAACCTTGGTGCACCAGTGATGTGTTATTTGAAAAATAACAGCTCTATTAAACCAAATCCTTCCCAGTCTCCACTGCTTCTCAAAGAGGAAAAACAAAATGTTACTGTGGGAGTCTTAATACACTTGTCTTTGTGGGTTTCTCTCTTCCCTGCTGAAGTCATACAGCATAGAGTTCATAGATCTTCTTTACACAGTACACCAGGGCAGCGAGTGCTATCGTGTTGTGCAGTCTCTTTCTGTGCAGGTCATCCTTCCTCACCAGCACCACGGGGGTGGACGAGGTGAGCGTATGCAGGGGCAGGCGGGAGAGTTTATAGGCATCGTACTCGACTTGGTACTTGCAGCAGGGATCAAACTGCCACGAGATCCCGTAGAGGGTGCAGCAGGCCACGCTCAGCACTCCAGCGGGCAGGGAGATGTAGTGAGAATAATCTACTGGAAGTGCCAGGGGGGTGAAGAGGCAGGTGGTGCCCGCCAGCACGGCCGTCTTGTGCAGGCAGTTCCCGACGGTGATCCATCGGGCCGTCTCGTCCCCGATGCGCGTGGGCTCTATCACGATGTACTTGTACTGCGCTTCCAGGGCCTGCTCCAGCTCGTACTCAAACTGGTCCTGAGCATTCTCCCCGTTGTAGATCTCGTGCACAATGTAACAGTCCGTGGAGGACAAGGTGACCCTGTTAACGGGAAACTCGGAATTAAAACGACAGAGCTTAAGGACGGACTGTTCACCCACCCGGCTGTGAGAGCAGCAGAGAAGTGCCCCAAGTGAGGGCAGCCCCTCAAGGTCAGGCACTGCCTGTGTTCCACAACCAGCAGCTTTTTCAACTCAAGCTTCATTTCACATCAGCTCATTACACCTACTGTACAATAATTCATCCCAAAATAAGGCAACATATTTTTCTTACCTTTTCCTGACTTGGGGGATATAAAGCAATTTGAGAAATTTGATCTTGTTAACAATCCTGAAATGGTTCCTCACACTGATACCCAAGCAGTTTCTCTGGAGACAGTGGAAGTGTCACTCACACCTTAGTGACCACAACGCCCCACTGAGCAAACCACACAGACTTCAGGAGTTTTCATAGAAAACAAACCCAGCAGCTCATCCATCAAGAGGACAAACTGCATTGGAAGGTTTTGAGAGAGGAAGCATCTCTAGATGAATACATTTGCTTTCACCCCACAATAGTTACCTCCTTGCCAGTGATGAAGCTTGATATTTAGTCCTCCATAGTAAACCCAACCTAGTAAATCCATAGCAAATCCAACAAGGATGGCCAAGAAACATTGCTGAAACAAGGTGAGGAAGGCAGCAGAGCACTCTGTTGCAGAACACTCCCTCTCCTGACGTAGGATGCAGCAAAGCAAGAAAGGAACATTTTTAACCCAGACACGCTTTAGCAGTGAAGAAAGAGCTGCTTGTGTTACCTGGGAGCACATTCCCTACTGACAGGGGATTCACAGGACTTGTATTGGAGCAGCAGCTTTTAACTACCTCAAGTCATATCAGTTTCCACCTTTCCTTCACCCTCCACCACATCACCAGAGCTGCAGCTACATTCATGTACAGACTGCTAAGAAATAGGATTATGACTGCTCACCTGCCCTGAGAAAGGGTAAAAACCTCTCCATTAGAACACAGCAAAATCCTCCCTTCTAAGCAGAAATGACTACTTCTGACATACTTGTGTTTAACCAGAGCAAAACTGAGCACGTGGCCTCTCAAGGATAAAAATATCTAGCAGATTCCTTTAGCAGAAAGAGAACAAATCATACACACATTTGACCTAATCTCAGCAGACAAAACAGCCTCATCCCAACAGCATTTAGACCTTCCTGATACCAGGAGGAAAACACTGCTGATGTGGAGAATGGAGGGAGCACTTTTTGCTCCATTAGTGCAGCGGTACTTATGTGCATGCACTGGAAAATAAGGGAGAAAAATACACATTCACAAGCTGCTGTTGCCAAACATTATCCTTAATGTGCAGCTCCACTCATGCTGCAAAGGGGATTGAGCAGTGGCCAGCTGTAATCAAGAATATTGTTAAATTACAAGCTGTTGCCAGAAGTAGCTGCGTTTGTAACAGCAGCAAACATCAATCAGCAGGACGGGAGAGGCACCACCCTCTCCCAAAGCAGAGTAATAAGCAATTTCATTAAAAGTCTGGCTGGAATTTATATAACCCACAATGAAAACTCAACTTACAAGGCAGTTATTGAGTTCTCTGCAGTGCATTTCCCCCTTGGCCTGTTCATGGGTAGAAAGAAAAATAAAAATCCACCTGAATTCCGTGTATGCCAGGGGCTTCTTTAGGGCCATCAGCTTGTCAGACATGGTTTGGGAAATTACCATTAACTCTTTCAGCACAGGATGTGGTGGGCTCTGATGTTCTGTGGCAAATTGGAAGGTATTTAAAGAAAAAAAATTTAAAGAAAGCACCTATATAAGGAGTTTCTAACAAAGAACCAGTTAAGCGGGTGTTACACTGACATTAAGGACACTGCCGGTCGTGGCTGCTGCCAAGGACTCTTCTTCTTGGTGGCCCAAGCGCAGCTTCTTCCAAATCAAAAACTCCAGTTTCATTACAAAGACATGCTGAGACTTAAGGTAACTCTGCACACCACCACCCAGACTGTGTGAAACCACTTGCTAGGGCATAATGACTTCATGGAAAAGCTATTGCTGAAAGGCATTTTCAAGCTGGAAGCCGACCCAGTGCTAACACAACCCTCCGGATAAAATTAGTATTTCCTACCAAGGAGCACTTTCAGTGTGTTGTAATACTTAGGAACATGCAGATGGGTCTGCAAAACAGAGAAGCAGAATCTAAATTCAACTAAGAACTTCCCAGAGGCTTAGGAATAGCACAGTGGCCTTGTCACTCCAGGATCTCCTGCCATCACTGGGAAAACACATGCAAAGCGAGCCCGTTCCTTCTCTGCCTGTTCAGGAGCCATGGGAACTGGGCTTCTAACTCCAGGAATTCAGTAACCACATTACATGGGATTTTTCCAGGCTCAGCACCAGGACAGGTGGCATTAACCCATCAGCCTCACGTCTCCTTGCTCAGATCTCCTTGCTGTCCTTCCCTCTGAACACCCCTTTTTCCTTTCACCATCACTGCACAAGCAGAGCCATACCACGAACACCTGTCAGAGAGCAGGAATCCAACAGATTGGCCAGAGGCAGCACTGTCCATCTCCTCTGGAATCTTTTGGCTTGCCAGGCTCTGGGGCTTTATAACAATAAAGTCAAGAAAAGCACAATCCTCCTACGCCAAAACAAGCAGAATTTAAAGTATGTTCTGTTGGAAAAGAAAAACCACTGGCAACTAAGCTGCACAAATTCATCCCTGAAAAAGTCTGCCCCCCTGACTGTGCTGTTTCCTCAAATTAGTCCTCTAAAAATCAGAATAAATCTGTATCACAGTGCTGAAGCTGTAAATGGCAAAACAGATAATCCAAAAACAACTACAAAGAACAAAAAGTTAACTGCTCAAACGAGGGGACACGTGAAGAGCCAGCAAGGCAAGCAGCAAGTCTCAATTTCTGTGCAGAGAAGTGGGGTTACCACGTATTATTTCCACACAAGAACTGGCTGCCCCCAGAGCAAGAAAAGCTGAAAATTGGTTTGATTTCAGATGATACAGAAAAAGACACAGATGAGATACGTGGGCTTGAGGATGTTTCAGCTGAGTAGGAGCGAGGACCTCAGTGCACAGAGTCGATCTCTCCTGACACAGCCTTTCAATTGAACACAGCAGCTGCAAACCAACAAATCCACTCAAAGCAACTGGATTTGCTCAAACACTGGAGGCCACGGAATTTGCCTTTTGGAGCTTGTCACCCACCCCCTGGCCATGACAAACACAAATGCAGAGCTGTGCAAGCAACTCTGAACTGGCATCAAGTCATCAAGTGTGGGGATTTTGTATAAACTCTGTTTTATTGAACAGAATAGTAAATAACCAGAGAGCACCTAATTCCAGAAGACATAAAATGCTGCCTGGTGTTCAGAAGCCCATCAGGCTGTTTACTAGACAGACCAGAACCTAAAAGCAGTTGTTATTACTGAACCAAATGATTTTCCAGGACCTGTCTCCCCACCCGAAAAAGAGGGCTAAGTTAACAAGTTGTACAGTTGTTCTGTAAGAACAATTCTGGACCTTATATCCAAATATTTGTTCTATTGCAGCTTCAGGCTTTCTATACTTGAGAAATTTTAGTGTCTCATTCCAGCTGCAGAATGAATGCCTGGGTGGGGGAATGTGACAGAACTCCGAACTATTCAGCACAGCAAGATGTAAATCACTTAAAATTCACCGATGTCAAATTTTGGTATTGCCAAAGTTATAAATAAGGAATCCATTGTTAACAGACCTACAGCAGCAGGAGGGGCAGAAGTGTCTGTGTTAGCTATAGGGCAAGGTTCAAATTACATTTGGATTGTCTTCCTAACATGGGAATATCAGAGAGCACCAGGAGAGGGGTGCTGCAGCTGCTGAACAATAGCAGCTCCAGCAATTCACAGAATCATGGAATGGTTTGGATTGGAAGGGAATTTAAAAGACCATCCAGTTCCACCCCCTGCCATGGGCAGGGACACCTTCCACTAGCCCAAGTTGCTCCAAGCCCCATCCAGCCAGTCCTTGGACATCTCCAGGGATGGGGCAGCCACAGCTTCTCTGGGCAACCTGTGCCAGGGCTTCACCACCCTCACAGGGAAGAATTTTTCCCTAAGTTCCACCCCTCAGAGCAGCTCCATTTCTGTGCCTCCAGCTTGGAAGCAGGCTCCTGAAAACAGCAACTTGCTGCTTCAATTCAATTCAACGGAAGTTTCAATTTGATAGTTTTGTTTCCTGGGGATAAAGAAATAACATTCCAAGGAGGAAGCACAATGCCACTCCATGTGAAAAGACCTTCAGTTTTGCCAGGTGCCAAGGGGAAATGGGAGAAACAAAGGAACAGAGTGCTGAGAACAGGGCAGGTAAAACCATCCTGGGAGAACCCCCAGCCTCCTCCTGCCACTGCTCACCTGCCTGAGCCTCCCAAGTTTGTTGCCCTCAGCCTAATGGCATTCCTCAATCTGCCAGACAGAGTTCTGGTGAGGGTTTCAACTCATCCAACTATCTCAGTTCTGCAAAATGCTCAGGATCATACTTAGAAACAAATCTCAAGCTGCACAAAGTGCAGGTACAGTTCTGGGCAAAAGAAAGTTCCTTTTAAACCCCTCCCTTAACACATAAGTCGAGTTTTATTAAAGTTTTTTTTTAAAACAGGAGAATATTCCTGGGCAACAGTATTGCTCAGAGCACCAAACAGGCAATCAGATTAACTGCAAATGAAGACCAGTTTGATTAGTAGTTAAGACAGTAAGAAAGGAAAAGCTTGCAGCAGTGTGATAAGATGTGTCACAAACAGCACACAGAGTCTAGTTCAGCAGTGCAAGAGGGGCTTTGTGCTGGTTGTGCGAGTGATCTGCAAAAAAAGATATTCTAGATGGCCAGAGTATGTCTGTGGGTATTGTCAGCCTCTCAGCCAAGCTGGAGCAAGTCACCAGAGTCGAGGCATGACAAATTCAAACACTAAACTTCCCTCCCTCCAACGTAAATCCTCCTTGAAATTTAATTTAATTTCAAGATTAAGGAATGAGCTGTGGACTGGCTTTAATTCTCAGTGGAAATATTCCACCTCCAAGTCATATTCACGAGTGTGCTCCTACTCAGGGTATGGTGCACAGAAAGCACTAACATGTCCCAGCTCAAACACCTGGGGAATTGTTTCTCTGCTGAGTGCCCCCACAATCTACCAGGCCTGGGGCCTTAAGAAGGGCATTAAAGCAGAGGAAGAACAGGAAAAGCTTAGCAATAAAGCAAGACCTTAGTTCAGAAGATGCACCTTAAACACAAATAGGAAAAATGACAGGAGAACACTGGGGAGATCGTCCAGCAGCCTCAACAAGGGACCAGAACGTTCCCTGAACACTAAAGAAAACATCACCAAACCATAACAACAAACTCCAGCCCCTGGACAATGAGGAGGTGTCAATTTGAAGTCAACTAATGATTAGCCAAGCTGATGGAAATAGGTCAATCATTGCTGCAAGCAGAGTACCAGAAATCTGAGCAGTGCAGGTAGTGAGAGAGCTCAGTAAGGGCAGAGAGGAGCCAGTGCAGGCAGCGGTGATGACATGAAAGCTGTTCTTTCCAGAGTTTGTCAGAACATCTCCCAGGGGAACAAACGACACGCTGTCCACTGCCTTTTATACAAGCACACCCAGTACAATCCAGTGTCTGTTCTGTATGAAAAAGTTGTTTTGGTCTACAGATCAACAATTCCCTTTAGACAGTCTCCATTAAAGAGTCTATCCAGAATGAAGAAAAACAAATATTTAGTTGGTTCCCTTCAGTGTTTTTGGGTTTTTTGTTGAATGTTATTATTTCAGCACCAGAGCCAGCTGGAGTTCACAGTCAACATCCTTTGAAATTAATGTCCTGACATTCACTCCTAGCGAGGAAAGCGCTTTTTGACCAATTACAGACTTCTCTGTATCAATAAAGCCGTTTATGAAGGGATTCAGTCTCCACAGATAGAGCTGCTGGTCTTTTTTTTTTATATATATATTTTTAAATGAAAGCTGCTCTAGTCTCACAGCAGACAGGATTTTATTCAGTACTAAGTCTCCTCACACCACCTCCGACACACAGATGCCTTTTAGACCGTCTGGCTGACAACTACAAACGCTCCTTGAAGCAGCTCAGTTACGAGGAAAACTGGATCAGCATATTCAGTTCAAAGGAATGTGTCTTTGGACAAGAATCCTCCCCAAAGTAAGAAAACTGTATTCATTCACCCTATAAAAAGCACATGTCATCATGTGATGACATCAGGTCTGTCAGCGCTGCCTGTACAAAACCTGTGCTGCAGCAGCCAAACAAGACAGGCAGGTGTGATTTGGGATCAGCCTCTGATGGAGAGGCAGAGGCCCTGTCATGTGTATCTCCTGCTCTGCAGCTGCCAGGAAGAAGCAGCACCTCGCTGTCGTCACCCAAAACATCATCCTCCATCATGTTTGTACAGGGTGACACCTAAAAAACCACCATCTCTTTTGATGGAGATTGTGAAACCCTGTTCAGGGGTGGATCTGTTCTGTTCCATCTCCTTCTCACTGGCAAAGGAAAAATAATGTATGCAGCAGGTTCATGGAGTGACTCGTCTTTATGAATATTTTTCATCATAAGATCAAGAGCAATCACAGCTTTGAAAACAAATCACCTCAAACAACAATTACTGTACAGTTCACAGATGAAGTTACACGGCAAGAACTCACTTTTA